GTGTGTGTGTGTGTGTGTGTGTGTGTGTGTGTCAGAAGTGTGAGGAGAGGAAACTGAGGAGTCTGGATGTTAAGGTGGTGGATTTTGGCACAGCCAAATTTGACCACGAACACCATGAATCCCTGGTGTCAACACGTCACTACCGAGCTCCAGAGATCATTCTGGGTACGCACACAACTCACAAACACACATGCACAAAATTGCTAAATTGGACCAGTTTCACTGCATGTCAAATAATCCATCTTCTCAGTTTTAACTTTGTGTGTTTCTGCTCAGATCTGGGCTGGAACCAGTCCTGTGATGTTTGGAGTCTGGGCTGTGTTCTTATGGAGTTTTACCTGGGACGTACACTCTTCATGGTACATATAAACACACGCACACAGACACGCACACACATACTGAAACATTAGTAAGTTTTTCTGCCCTGCCTGTCTGTTGTTTCAGACCCATGACAGCAAAGAACATCTGGCCATGATGGAGAAAGTCCTGGGACCGATCCCCCCCCACCAGCTGAAACAGACCAGGTGACCAAACAAACACACACACATATACTGTACATGCAAGAGGAGGTATTATCCTTTATGGCTTTTTGCCTCTCCTTTAATAAGTTATATATCTTTTTTGTGGTATTATGGTTTTTGGCTCTTTCCCTCTCCTTTATCGAGTTATATATCTTTTTTGTGCATGAAACAGGTTTGCAAAATGAAAAAGCCCAAAGGAAGTTCCCATCTCCCACAGAAAGCTCTGCTCTGAACTGCTTGAAAACAGCTCGTTTGTAGTCCAGCCCTTCACTTCCTTTACTTGTGACATCACAATGAAAACGCGTCATAAAGCTTGCCAAGCGGCTAGCGGGGTCAGGCACGCACTCAAACCAAGCTAGTCTGAGCGGAGGCCCTTTGGCTCGACTCGCTTTTGTTTGGTTTTCCATTGTAGAAATGTTGCACCTGTAAATGCTTCCAGGTACTTTTTTTCATGTCACCTCACCTCCGTCGAGGTTCCAAGCGAGCTGAAGGATACTAAAATCTAACATAAAAAAACATGACAGACTGCTGATTGGTCAGAGAGAATATTCACTATTCACTGCATCATCATTGCGTGCACCAGACAGAGGCCAGCAACAGAAAGTTTTGAGGTGAGAAATCAGCTGTGTAGATTTCGAATACAGTTTTACGAGAAGTGATGGCGGAACAAAAATGTGCTTGAATATTTTCGGAGTTGAGGAGCTCCGCAAGTGGCTGCGGGGGAAGCCTGCGTATGGGGTTGAGTTCTTATGTAGTTTGTATGATGCTTTGGCAACATTGCTGTTATACATTCATGCCAATAAAGCTAATTTGAACTTTACCACACGGGTGAACAGACGATCTGGCAAATACTGAAGGAATGAGCCGGGTATAAATCAGCAGTGGTGATTAGTAGATTGACTTCAGGTGTGTGGGAAGCTCCAAGAACTATCGCTGATGAACACCTGCCCGGTGGCCTGCAGATACGCCCAAAAAGGGGAAGGGGAAAAATATAGGCGAAACAAGGGACTGGGAAGGATGAGCCACCAGATCACCACAAATGTGCTCTCCTCGGCTGAAAGTGTGACTTGAAGTGGAGTGTTGGTGGGGAGGAAGTGAGTTGAAAAAGTGTCGCAACTGCAACTAACCACTGTATAAACGTGTGTTCAGACCAAACGTGAAACTAATTTTTCGCATGGTGCGATTACATACAGAGTCGATACGAAGACGTAAATAGAACTGATAGTTTCAACTTTCGTGAAAGCTTATCAGCGAAGGATTCAACATCTTTACTACACAGAGACAGAACAAAATAACTATTCCGTTGTCTTTGGGACGGTGTGACAGGTAAAAGGCAGAGGTTATTTCTGCCATGGTTGATTGCAGAGATAAACGTTGCTAAGGTAGATGATATCTATGGATGAAAGCCCCTTCTCCTTTCTTGAAGGAGCACTCCCACTGGCTCTTGTTTGGCAGGTTGCAAAATAGTCCAAAACACACTGCAAGCGGCTGTATTCATGTGAGTAACGCAAGGCAAAAATCAGCTTGGCGTTTGGTCTGAACACACCTTTACCTGTATGTGTACATCATTTTCTGCAGAAAGCCAGATTATGTGCACAACGAGCGTCTGAACTGGGACGAGCAGAGCTCCTCTGATGATTACAGACAACACTGTAAACCTCTGAAGGTACACACTACTCAGATCAGCCAATCATCTGCAGCCGTGAGGTAGCGGAGGCAGCAGTGGAAAGTCTGAGTCTGTTAACTATCTGTCTTTCAGCATTACATCCAAAGGAATAGCGAGGAAGAGAGGCAGCTGTTCGACCTGCTCAGCTGCATGTTGGAGTACGACGTGTGCAGACGGATCACCCTGGAGGAGGCGCTGTGGCACCCGTTCTTCAGCCCGCTGAGGATGCAGAAGCAGCAGCGCAGCTAGCACACAAAACACACACACATACACACACACACACACATTCAACATCTACCTCGGGGTTGTAATTTAAGCGTTGCAATTACTAAACTGTTTGGGTTTGTAGTTTTGAGTTGATGAGTTAGATGATTTTCAGTTTCGTAGAGCATTCCTGTCTACTCAAAATATATATTTTACGGACATCCCATCATGATCCAACAGTCTGCAGTCAAGTAATTCAGAGTAAATGTTTTCTTTCACTTCTTTCTCAGTCATTTCTGTCAGGAGTTTGTTAATAAATAATAATATTTTGCATTTCCGTGTGTCTTCATTCTGTTTTATACAATGAATTTCTACTGCTATTAACTTCTGTTCACACAAACTTGTCAACTACAAGACTACATTTAATTTGGCCCTAATTTCTATCCCTTATGATAACACTGTATTCATCAAAATCTATGCGCACATTACTTTCTCACTTAGTCACTGATGTGTTGGTGCTGCATCAACAAGTATCACTGGGTCCTCCAGCAAGAATCTAAGAAGGTGCTTGTATTCACACCCAGCAAGACTTATCTAAGTAAGCTAATTGCGAATTAGACTCCCAGCATTGAAGCTAGACAATGGCATAGATGCTGCAATGACAAACTACTGCCCAAGCCTAGTAATCCTACATTTAGGAATTACCTGTTTTTTTCAGAGTTGGAGTCTCACTGTGAGGACGGGTCATCTGGAGTGCTGCTTGCAGTCACTGAGGGCTAAGCTATGTATTGATGATGTCCTTATACCTCTAAAAACCACAATATCTTCTTCTCAATTTCTCTACCGTTAATACCAGATATGTGAGTGATGTGTTGGTGTGGAGACTTTTTTTAAAGACACCATTGAAGGAGTCCGGCTGATCCTTAAGCAATGGGTGTTCCTCAGCTTAATATCCTCTTAACAAATGACACATTAAGGATACCTTTCAATGTTGTGCTCTCTGGGCCAATATGTTGAATTTATCCACCTACAGCTTATAGCTTACTGATCTTATGCTACACTTATTTTGCACCAACGCCCTCAAATTTGCAGGCAAGACAGTTTTCTTGACTTTAGACATTGATATCTCCACAGTGGCTGAACACATTTTTACCATTCAAACTGCATTTGAAATGTCCATCTCCCTTCGTTATTTCTGCAATTTGTACAATGAAAGTAGCTCTTAGTCATAGCCCTTTGACATAAGACCCTGGTAACATAGGGATGAGCCCAAGCAATATAATGTAAGTACCTATTTTTTAAGTAACTTGCCAAACACTGATTATTCCTGATAGAAATTATGACCAAAACTATTAAAACAAACATCTTGTAACCTGGGATTTGCCTTATTGTTTATCATCCCAGACACAGTTATATGTTCAAAAACACAGGTCCAGTTTAGGTTTATACACAAAGAACCCAGGATGATCCTGCTGGGCACTGCTGAAAGCCAATGCATGTCACAGCGTGACAAAAGAACCAAGGGTAAATTGGCTCTATTTCCAGCTCAGCTGCTAGGTTTTATGTGGAGACTGTAGTCTGTTAGTCTAAAGTAAATGTTAGCTATCTAACCCCACCATCAAATCTCTGACATCACCTTACTTAACTGCTTTTTTGAAAGAGACTGCTGACACACAAAGCCGACGATATTTTCAAGCAACCAAGGAAGTTTACATGACTGAATCGTTATCTAAATATTAAATGTGCAATAGTGGCCGCTCTTAACCATCAGTTTAAGGCTAATAAATCACATGGATGTAATAAAGCAATATAAACCAAAGCGGATCCTTGGGCCAATAAACACAATTTATTCATAATGTCATGGGTTCCAGTCTGTCTCATGACCTTTACTGCATGTTATCTGTGATCTTGCCATGCCTATTTTACTCGGCACAGAAGAGTTAACAAAAACCTAAAGCCAAAATACAGTAATAAAAAGTTGGCACTCAAATTTTGAGATTACTGTAGTATCAAATGCTGGATAAGAATATTAGTTTATTTTTTTCCCAGTGGTAAGGAATTGTCAGGCCTACATCACAGCAAAATGATGATATAAGGTGAAGCATCTGCAGACTGAGGAAGTGCAGCTTCAAAAGATGGCCATCACTTTCAACTCATCAAGCCAGTTAGTCTAGCTTGGCAACATTATTATAAAATCCAACAGATGTTCCTATTCATTTATGTTATTTCAACACCTGCTGAGTAAATGGCAGCTCCTGCATAAACTATTGAAAGGAGGACGTTAGCTGTTTCTCTTTTATAGGTAGGGATATGATGGTTGCAAATTATAAGTCTGTCCAAACACACAGCAACAAGTAATCCTGTAACCTCGCCACTTTGTACGTTACCCTGTTACATGCAGAGTCACGATGTAACACAGGGAGTGCTCAAATCACAGATGGTACTATGCAAGGGCCTGTGTGGCTGAAACTGTTTAGTTCCTGGTCACACAGATATTTGACCAATCACTTTAGGAATAATGACAGTATCAGCTGGAACCACAAATTCAACGGTCATTGCAGAAAAATACATTTACATTTTTGGTAGGTACCAAAACAAACACCAAGGAGGTATATATCTCTGTTTTATAAAATTACAGCCCACCTTTACAAGTTAACTTCAAGGTATCCCCCCCTCACCTGTTTCAAAGATGAAAAAGGAAATTAGAAAGATTATCCTGGCAAAACCAGGACACCAACATGTTCTTCAATCATAACACAGGAAACACAGGAGAACACACTTTTGATTAGACTTAAGCCTCCCAGGGCTTCTGTAGTCCTCTGCAAGTCTCTGCAGGATATTAAACTTCCAATAAGTGTGTATAAAGGGCTCAAAAAGTCAGTGTGCGCCCTCATACTTTCACTGATTCCTCAGTGGGACAGGCCTGAACCCTTGCGGACTTAATCAGGAACATGTCAGAGTCTGTGAAACTGGACCGTTGAACTCTTTCCTGCCCTCTGCTGCTACTGACCTGTGACCCCTCTGGTTTCACTGGGAACCAACTATCTAAATTAAACTGTAGTGCTGTCACTTTTATGAGTCATCGGCCCACTGTGATTCAACATAGGGAACATCAGCAGAGGTGGATAGTCTGTGTTCTCAGCAGGACTGACAAGCACAAAATGTGCTGCTCTTCTTTGTATAAGATCTTTTCTATAAAAGACGTCGCCTGTTGCACAAATGTGTTCTGAAAGGAAAAAAAACACTGGTTTAATATAACTTGGATCTTATTTTCATAGCTCACCTTTATTTTCTCTTGCAAATAAGTTTGGCTAACCTGTGGTTGTCATGTTTTTTGTCCAGTCTGGCTTCTTATTAGCCATGTTTCAACAGTACCAGATCTCAGAAATTGCTTTGGTGTGTACACTGTTATCATAACTGGAGAAAGAGAAATGACGGTCAAAATTTCAATATAATTTAAAATCTACAGTCATGCTAGTGGCTTTGTAAGGATGTATTTGGTCACAGTGATGATGCTAACATGCTAATGTTTAGCAGGTATGCTAACATTTGCTAACATACACTGAAAAGAAAGTAGCCACCACAGAGCTGATGGGATCAGTTTTGCGTTAGACAAATTAAAATTTTAATCTGATGGTGGCACTATATGGTTACTAAGATGATTACAATTCATCTTGACATTTTAGTCAAAACCATATTCTACTTTCTGTTATATTTTATATTTGATTCTGAATTATGTCATAGATTCTCTTTTTATAACAGGAAAAATCAGGGGATCACCAAAGTCCATTGAATTCCTCCTCTGGGGATCATGAATGTCTGCACAAAATGTCAAGACAATCTATGTGATAGTTGTTGAGATATTTCAGTCTGGACTAAAGTGGTGGAGCGACGAACTGACCATAATGCTACAAGTGATTTATCTTGAATGGCACATGATTTTTGTTATGCATTCACTGCCAATGTATTTCACAGTTACATTAGTACTAAACACATGATGATGGATAGTTCGAAAACCAAGAGTACATTACATTGCATTACATAGATCAAAAGAAAGGGAGAGAATGTTTTGACTTTAAAAGTTTATTAGTTGTCAGGTCTAGATTGGGCCCAGGCTGAAAGGAACTGGATGGTTTATAATCAGTGGATCAAGATTGAATACGGAAAGTAATACTTGATATTCTTATTTTTGGCTCATAGACCCCTGGAGTATTAAGGCTGTGTTTCCCCAAAACATCTTAATAATTGGTCCCTGGGTAAGTGCTGAAGAAGAACAATATCAACTCTCAACTCCAGTATTTAAAAAAGATTCCAAAAATAACTGTGGTTGTGAATAAATGAGGTCAAATTCATGAATCAATTTAAAGTCAAAGTAAAGTTAAAGCTAGTACCCATGTAAGTCAGAGTCCTGTTCAGGTCTTATTCAGAATTAGAGCTTAACCTATTAATTTCATATTCAGAATAAAGATATTCACCTTTTGAGGGGACACGTGGCACAATGTCAAGGCCTCAAAAGTAGTCCTCATATTTTACTAACTGGCAGGTTAAATTTTGACAGGGACATGTTACAGCATTTCAGAAAGATAGGGTGAAAGTGGAGCTCACTTTTCTCCGGTCTTAAAAGTTGTTTATGTTGTATGTCCCTTTCTGTATCTAGAATATCACAGTGATAACACACTCTAGCCATGCTTTTGTTTCCACCGCTTCTCTGGTTTCTTTCACAAGCTGGTCGTGGCAGATAGAGGCACAGTGTGAGCCTTGTCGTTAGGGATAATTGAGTGCAACAGTGAAGGGTTGAGGGTATCTCCACCTGAAACATCAGCTTGAGTAAGCACAGGTGGCTGCGAGTCACATCTTTCTGTGACGCCTGGTGATCCAGCAGCCCACGACCTTCCTGTAAAGTAGGAAAACATGGCTGCTAACTGCAGCCGCACCTCCCTTTGCCAGAACGCGTACACCAGGGGGTTGATGAGTGAATTGGATAGTCCCAGCAGCCACAGATAATTCTCCAACACGTCTGTGAGTTCGCAGCTTTTACACAGAAGGTGCACTATGCACGCCACAAAGAAGGGGCACCAAAGGACCAAGAAGCAGCCCACAAGCACCGCCACCGTCCTCAGGGCCTTGACATGGCTCCAGTAACCGCTCCTCAGCTGCTGATGCTGGTGGTGATGTTCGTAATATTCATGGCCATGGTGGTCAGTACTCCTGGAACAAGCTTGCCTCACTTGGCAGATCTGCTTCTGGTGGATGCAGGCTATCTTCAGGATGTCCAGGTAGATGTAAACAAAAACAGAGAGTATCGGGAAGAAGCACACGCTGAATAACACAATCATGCCCACTTGGTGAATGACGGAGAAAAAGGCACAGAAGCCGTCGTAGCCGTCCGCCTGCAACTGCCGCACCATGACTGAGAAGAAGAGGACATTGGTTATTGGTTATATATGACACTAGTTCTTCTTACACTCATGTACTATCAAGAAAACAGTCCTCAAAGTCAATCAGTAAACTACAAAAACAAAAATGTCAAAAAAACACTCTAAAAAAGTAAAAAAGCAACTAAGGCTACTTTCATACTGCAGGCCGAAGTGACCCAAATCCCATATGTGACTCAGATCTGATCTTTTTATAACAGTGTGGACAGGCCAAGTCACGTGGAATCTGAACTTTTCCAGTTTGGATTTGGGCCACTTTCATATGTTGTCCAAATCCGATACAGATCTGATCTTTTTAAACGTGACCTGAGTCTGGACACTCGGGTCAGAATTGAAGCGACTTTGAAATCACTCCAGAGCAGCTGTTCTGCTGTAAAGGAAAAAGCTCCACAAAAGCCATTCTCAACATGTGGCTCTATCTGCTCACAAATTCCCAGTACACCTGAAATCCACTGAGCTCTCTTCTGAGTTACATGCATGCTACCTGAGTACGTGCCGACATAGTGAAGAGAGAGAAACCAGAAACCGTAATGAGAAGAACAGAGAGTTATCAACACTTAATAATTATAATAATAATCATAATTCGGGAGAAATGTGACCCGTGAGAGGACAATGAAAAATGGGACTCTCCCGTGAAAATTGGGAGTGTTAGCAAGTAGGAGCTAACACTAGCTAAAATCTGTGGCTCTGTTTACCTCTGTACAACAGCGTGCTGTGTGTGATGTCGTGTTTTTCTTCTGCGCATGCGGGTCACTTTCAGGCCGCTGACAGTTCACACTGAAGTCTGACGTGGGCCACATTTAAGCAATAATGTGAACTGTCAAACAAAAAAATCTGGGAAAAAATTTGGAATAGAGCATTAAGGCGTGCAGTCTGAACGTAGCCTTAATGTTTCGGGAAAACAGCAGCAGCAGTCATTCATGTTTGAGCTTTAGCACCACTACCAATAGTGCCTTAAGGTGTAGTTCCCTTATGACAATTAAGCTGTCCCCAAGAAAACTGTGACCATACTGAAGGAAATATGGGAAAAGCCCCAGCTTCTTCCTAAAAATATACAACATAAATATAGCTATTTGTTTCCATACAAAGTTTGCTCTGTAAATTCAGTATGGGTTAACAAACAAACAAAGTACATGTTAAGTAGACAGCGTTAGAAGTGTTGGTGGGTGATTTTTCAAACAGGCTAGCAGTTTACACTTACATCCATTTTTTTTATGCTAAGCTAGGCTGAACATTTCCCAACTCTGTACTGCACAGACGTGAGACTGATCTTTTCATCTTAATCTTGGTAAGAAATGAAAGCCTATTTATTCCGGATATTTTTGATTCCTTTAAAGATGCACTGTGGATTATTGTGAATCCTGCATATTCCTGGTACATTCCTTTGCAGCAGGAGTGGCTTAATTCTGCCTGGCAACCATTGAGATGGCGTTTAAAATTATTGCTGCCGTAATATCCTGTCTGACAAATCTTTTCTCATGGATGTCTTACTCAGACCTGAGATTCTCATCAATACCTTTTGCAATATGACGTACAAAAACGACATATCTTCTGTTTGAACACCAGCTTCTTTTACCCTAACACAATATAGTAATATAATTAATCAGTTGTACATCTTTAAGTGTCACCTGGCAAAAATCCCAACGTGAGGGAGCTGATCCACAGAGCCAGCAGGGACCCAACTGCTGTCCCCTTCCCCGACAGCTGGGAGTACCGCAGGGGCATCTTGATGGCTGCGTAGCGGTCTAGTGAGATCAGGAACATGGACATGATGGATGCTGTGCAGGGCGATGTCACGAAGGCCATGCGCATCAAACACCGGGCCTTGCCCTGAGCAGCAGGCGTGGCATTTGCAGGAGGCTCAGCAGTGACATGGCTTTGCTGGTTCTGAGTGATGTTGTTGCTGTTGAAGTCCTCTGTGGCCAGGCCAGTGATGGCCACACCCACCAGGACATCGGCCAGTGCCAAGTTGAGGACAAAGCACCAGCTCTGGCTGCTCTTCTTGTGGAGTAGCTTAAGTAGAGCGGCTGCCACCAGTAGGTTGGTGGAGATAATGAGACAAGAGGCGACGCTCAGGATCAGACCCATCACTCTAGGCCTCACGTCGCCTTGGGTTGCCGGCTGGTTGGAGTCCATGTTGTCAGGAATCATGTTAACAGTGCTTGCATGTCCACTAAAATATGACATGTTGATAACATAAAACCCAGAAGATTTTAAGGTGCAATTCAAGCGTGGTTAGGTGGGGCTGACATTGCTCCGATCAGAATCCACCTTTTGTCCCATACATCACAAATACAACAAAACGTATTTGCACAGAGGCTCAAAAACAAAATAGGATACAACTTTAAGAAAGGTTAAGACTGTGAACATGCTCCAACATATGACAACACTTATTTTGCGAGAGTTACGCTGGTTTGATCACCACAAGATGAAAAATCTTATCAGCCAATATCGTCCTTTTAGGTTAAAGCTTCAAAGTATCCACAGTGACTCAAAAAAAAAAAGAAAATGATTCTGTTGCTAAAATGTCCATTTTGATCTCACCATTCTCATCAGTGTCGTTAAAGGTCCTTTGAACAAATGCAGAAGGACAGAAACACTCACAGCATTATCAGCAGGTCTTCCTTGTCCCCTCCCCTCTCTCACACACACAGAACTTATAGACGCACACACAACAGCACAAACACATACATACCCTTCTGCTGCTCATCCGTTGCTGTTGTTGCCTCTCTGGGACTGACCCTTGTCCCAGCCGCCTGCCTGCTGAGTTTCTGCCAAGAAGTGAGATCTGTATTTTTGTGAATGAATGCACTGTATGTTTGTAATTATTTATCAGTATTTTTATAAACTAAACTTTGGTCAGGGTTAATTTAGTATGGAGTACCAAACCTTACATAATCAAGGGAATAAATAAATTAATGTAAGTAAGTAAATTAAATCTGTGTAGAATGAATGAAAACAGACGTTTTTCACAGAGGACATGTCACATTAGAAAAAGCACGGGTGTAAACAATACATTTATTGATGAATTTGATGAATGAATTTTATTTGGCTGTTTCAGTTTCAGGGTCCTGACTTTAATGTTATTAGTGCTTTTCCTAGTATGGCAATAAATGTCTGCTGTGAAAAAGGTCTATGGGTGGTTAATACATGCTGGTTCAGAGTCACTTAGGCAAGTTTTAAACATTGTGACCGTAGACTTTACATAAATAAAGATGACGCATCTACACTTCTTCTCACTGTACAAAAATGAAGCCAACATTTCCTGGATACCCTCTTACGCTGGTGACGTCATTTAGAGCAAGAGTCAGCTCCAATCATTTTGAGAATCCAGTGTTGCAGGAGTTAACCTGGTGGCCCTCTGATGGACTCTTGCATATACTGTGTTGAGCATTAGTATCTTAAGTAAGGAGTTCACTAAATTCAGTAATATAAAACAGGAGCAGCTACAACCGTGTTTGAGTGCTGTACAGAGCTGAATGGGCTTAGTTAAACTCTAACCTTGCTGGCTGCTGTCCTACTCTGGCCCCCGAGTCCCCAGGAGAGACATATGGCATGATGGGACCATTTTCCACTAAGATTCACACACAAATAGATCCGGCTAATGATGCTTTCTCACTGCACATACTCAAAACATCACCTGGCATCAAACCAGCTTTTCAAACTGATGAGTAGCAGCTATGGTCTGTGAGAAAAATACTAAAAGAGAAATTACAGTTGACTAAAGTATCCCGTACTAATGGGCCTGGTTAATAATTTGCCTTAATATCATTTATGCCAATTACCATAATTCAAGACTTTTTATTTTATTACAGTTTTTCTCGATTGCTTAACCACATTTCTTGAAATGATGCCTCTTTTTCTCGAAACTCTTCTCCAAACATCCTATTTTCAGGTCAAAATGAAGCTTTCCACTCAAAACCATTCAGTCTAGCTGAAAAAACAAACTTTGCCCTCAGAAACACACACACTACAACACAGTCTTAAACACTGGTGAGATAAATTCAAAACAATACTATATAAAAACTGGTTATAAATAATGTTGGTTGTGGTTCTCCCCCTCAAAAACCTTTTCACACACAAAAGAAATAACAAATTTATACATTTGCACATACAATATATAAATTTTTTAGTCCTTAGTCTACTATACAGTACAACACACCAAACAACAAATTATTCTGCCCCAGCGTCCTGTCTTTGTTCTGGGACAGGACAGAGATTCATGTTCTCCACCTCCTCCTCCTCTCCCTACTCCTGCTCCCCCTCCACATACTCCTCATCTTCCTCCTATCCCATCTCCTCCTCCAACTCCTCTTCCTTCACCTGCTCTTACTCCTCCTCCTCATCTTCTTCCTCCTCTCTGGTGTCGTCAACCTCTTCCTTCACATCTTTCTGGATCCATTGTTCCAAAACTGAATGAACCGACTCTGGCTCTTTTTATCTATCTATTAAAGCTTCTGATTGGTGTGTTATCAGTTATGACTGTTTGTGTTTCCACCTGGGTAGTTGTGTGCTATTTGAGCTCAACCTGTGCTGACTTGAGTGAACGCTATTGAATGTTAGTGCTTTCTCAATGACCACATGGTGTAGGCAATGAGAAATGAAATGAAGAATGTTTAAGCAGGTTAGAAAAACTGTAAAACTGGATATTGGGGCTGGACACAATTAAAAAGTTGAGTAGAAGTCAAGAAGAAATTTTGATGACACATACTGTCCTCAAAATGAATCATATTTTAAGAAAAGGAAACTTTCTGTGAGGTATTTGACTTCTATTAAAACATAGAGAAATGTGTCACTGCACTGTTTGGAAACCACCAGCGACTGATGCAACTCTAGTCTCAGAAAGATTTGCTGATTGATTCACTGATGAGCATTAAAATTAGATTTAGTCATGCCAGCGATGTGGCTCTATGGCAATGACAATCACTTGATTCCACCACTTTGCCCCAGACTGAAATATCATTATAACTATTGAATGGATTGTCATGACATTTGGTACAGATGGTCCCTAAAAGATAATTTGCAATAATTAATGATTAATAATTTTATTATCATATTATAAGTGGGAAACTTGACTTGCAGTCAGAGCACAAGATAAAACTGTGAGAAAAATGTGAGAAACAACACAGGTACAAAAAAACAACACAACAAAAATGTGACCAGTACATACGGTACACTAAAAACACCCTAAAAACAGTACACAGTCTCTAAAATGCTAGCTTACCTGAGACGATTAAGAGGGCTGCACAGGGAACAAAATAGTTTTTTCTCCTATTGCACTTGAATCGTGGCATTCTAACATATGACCTGTGGGGAGAGTAACAAACTCAGAATAAAGAAGGTGATTTTGCGATCTAATATAATCCTGGCCTTGCGGACAACCTGCTGGTCAAAGATAGCAGTCAGGGGAGTCTGTGAGACACATTTAACCTTACCAGCTACCTTCACAATATTGTTCAGGTGTTTGTTCCCCCTGATGTTCAGGTTACCATGCCATGCAAACTTAGAAAACAAATGAATAGATTCAATAAAAGACTAATTGTGTTGTTAACATTAGATGGCATGGCCCTGCGATGGACTGGCGACCGGTCCAGGGTGTGCCCCGCCTTTCGCCCGATGTCAGCTGGGATTGGCTCCAGCCCCCCGCGACCCTGTGCGCAGGATAAGCGGTTGATGATGGATGGACATTATATTGCATTATTTGGTCAACCTTTAACTTTCCCTCTTGCGGGTCAAAGTTTTTGACTTATTCAGTTTAAATCTTGACATCACTTTGGTGAACCCCTGACTTTTCATGTACCATCATCAGGTAAAAATGAGACTGCAGATGCAGTCTTCTACAATACTGCATCTGTTCTTTTATATTACTTTGAGCTGATATGTCAACCGAAATTTCCCCCACGGGGATTAGTAAAGTTGTATCTTATGTCTTTTATGTTATCTTATTTCATCAACCGTCAACTGTAGCTTTTACTAGCGCCAATTAGCAAATGTTGACATGCTAACACACTAAATATGGTGAACCTGGTAAACATAACAAGCCACTGTGTGACACACAACCAGACCTTGATAGAACATTTGCCACAGAGAAAAACAGAACTGATAGGCTAAAATATGAATGTGCTAGCTCACCCTGACTGTTAGTTGTTTTCACACTTCCCATTCAGACAAACAAACCATCCTCAAACCTCAACACTACAATCCCAGCAAGCCCAGAGCAACAGAGCACAGTTTCACCAGGCTCAATATGAGTCCAACCTGAGAGGAAAGATTCTCTTTTTAATACCTCTCGCCCCCCCTCCCGACAAGCCAAAAGAGCTCCAACAGACAGACAATGTAGGAATGTTATTCAACCCTGCTAGACCTTTCAGGACCTTTCAAAACAAAGTGTGGGTCAGCAGTAATTGTGCCCAGTGCCCAGCAGCACCCAGGAAGCAGGGATCCTGTTTACACCTCTGCCAGCGGCATCCTCCACAACTGCGAGGGATTCTTGTAACTCCACCTCCACTTTAAAGGAGCTGCTGAGGACTTCTTAAGCAGAGCGACAAGTTTTCCAGTTTTGGAAGATCACTTTGTCAGAAAAGAGTTCTTCTGGACACGAGTGTTAAGGTATTGATGATGGTGTTATGGGAGTGATGTTGTTTTCAGGGTGATGTGCAGGAGCAGGGACCCAGCATCTGTTTTCCGTGGCGTACAGCAAGCTTGGAGTCGTATTAGAGGTCTTGGGGTTGT